GTACATGGGACCGTGCACGACGGGCAGGACACGTCTCGAATATTTTACCCCGGGAGTTTTTCCTCTTTAATTGATTCAATCGGCGAAAAACACGGCGAGACCGGCTTCAAACCCCTCGGGGGTTTTCGTCCTCTTCCCCTCCGCGTCATCCGCGCTTCCGACAGCCAACCGCTGTAACGAGACGCCAGAACCAACCCCCTTCCGAATAGAAACGCCAACCCCTCTTCGCGGTTAGTCTCTCGCCCGTTCCTTTTCCTCGCTTACCCCTCGCCGCGGTTATCCCTTCCCGCATTTCGACCCCTTTGTTCTTTCTGCTTATCGTCTCCTTTTCCTCCAATGTTTTCCTTCGCGCGCGCAAACCCTTCCGTCTTTTCCTTCTTCGCGCAATTAAACGCCTGTTACGTTTCCTGGTCTGTGTATTCCATTCCGTTTCCGACTTTTTATTCTCACCATAATTATGCTTCTTTTTCTTATCACTTTACTGTTTCCAGTCATTTCATCTTCTGTGCAGCGTTGTTTCATAAGATTTTTTCTTCGACTTCTCATACAGATGCAAGATTAGCTAACGAATAATAATTATCATGTGAAACGCATATTAATTAAATCAGGTACTCGCGACGTTATTAGTTTATTTTATAACGTCTTTTTTACTCTGGTCGCAATTATTTTTGCATTTTTCGCATCTATTCTTTTCTTGATGTAGTAATGCAGTTCTGTATTCGTATTAATTACTATAAAGAATATATTCTTGTCGTATTTTGCAATTTATATATATGTATAATTTATATTTACTTAATTAATATATGTACAATGGTTCCGTTGAATTTTCTTCGGTGCGCCTTCTTTAAGGTACGTAAACTCTTCCGTTTTGGTTTAACCCCCATCTGCGCAGTAACACCATTGACTGTGTAACACGATACAATACGGAAACATTTATACACAGTCGCCGAGAGCTGAATAGTTGCCGCCGTTTATGCGAAGGTCCTCCTCTTCGAGGAGAGTACGGGGCGCGTGTCGGCAGATGGAAAGGGGTGGTTGTGTCATGGGATGCGTGGGGGAAGTTTCTGCGAATGCGGCAGAAACTCTCGCGGATTTTCCGTTTGTTATTTTAATTAGAGCCTTCGGGGCCTGCTCTTAACGAGTGCTTGGCTCTCGTCCGCGTTTATTGTATATCCTTCTGAAATGACGGTTGTGTCACATCGTCAGACTCGTGTTGGTAGATCATGAAAATGCACATTCAGCCTGTTTCTCGTTTATTTATATTTCCGCGAAATAATCGCATGACACCTCTTTGACGGTGTCAACAACTGTATCGTAATCGTAATTTATTCAAATGTCATATCAATTCCGTAACCTTTTTCTATTCAATTCTCTCGCTAATACGTTACGACACAAGAATAAAGAGTAAATTGTACATTCTTGCGCAATATTTGATCGTGAGATATGACAAAAATTTATTTATTTGTGGGCGTGCGTGAGATAATTGGAAAAAAAGTAAGAGTTTTAAGTTATGCTCTCTTTCTATGTCAGAAATAAAAAAATATCCAGAAAAACGACGCAGAAAACGTCTCATTAGACTTTTTGCAATGCTTACGAATAACCATCCGACTTCTTTTTCAAGTTAAGATATTTTAATTTTTCTATTAGAGCTTGTCTTATAAAACATCGATAAAAAGAGTTTTAGCATCGTGACAGTTTGCATTAGCATCGGTTTTTTACTTGGTTAGGCTAGGTTAGGTAAAAAGAACATGTAAAAAGGGATAGAACGTAATTCTTTGTCGAGAATAGATATATCCCCGTTATAGAAAAAACTATGAGGAAGAACGACGTAGGTACCATCGAACGCGATATTTTCCTAAAATTGGGTGGACACGTCGTAAACGTCCGTTACTTAAAAAAAACGTGACTTTTAGCTTTTTATATGTTGTCCCTGTTGACTCCGGTACTTCCTTGTACAGTTTTTTAGAGTTCTTTGTATAGAGATGTTTTACGTTCACTTTGTTATGATGTGACTCGCCAAAAAAATCAGCGTACTTTTTATCCGAAATTTTTATGTTCTTACAGAATACAGATATAATTTTACTGTAAACGAACTTTTTGCTAAAAACATATGTAACAAGTTTTTAAATATTATAGTTATGCAATGCGTTCTTAATACTCGTTTTAATAGATCGGGGCTAATATTGATATAACAGTGCGCGTGGAATATTTTGAAATTGGATATTTTAATTTATAAATAGACAATATATATTATTCTCATTTTGTGGTATTATATCGGCGTTGCACAGTAGAGTTCAGAGAAGCCGCTTTTAATAACCCGGATGCGGATGCTTTTACGTAGCAGTGTCGTATTCGGATCTAAGGTTCGGGCTAGCATAAGCGAGGTAATTCTGCTTTAGGTTCTCTAACCTCATCTATACACGATATCGCATATCCTATTACGTTTTCTTTACGCTACCATTTTATTTCAAGAGAAAAGCAAAAAGAGAAATATGGAGGAAGGGCTAGATTCTTTAGGATGTCTTCAAAGTAGTGCCCAGATTGTTGAAAAAATTTTCATTTCACTTCAATTATTAAATGTATATTGAATATATTTCAGTAGAAAATATATACAAACTAATACATATACATGTATACATATATATATTTTATATTAATGTATGTTATATGTATATTGATATACATATAACATCATATGTATATGTACACAAAAACTATTAATATGCATATTACTTTATTTTTCTTCTATATTAACACATTTTAGGACAAGTTTTTAAGAAATAAATATTGCGACAAATTTACATTTTAATAATAAATATCGAATACTTTTATAGTAAGAAGGTAAACCTATTAAATAAATAATATACTTGTGAATCAAAGTACTTAAAATTACATTACAATTTTACTATAATTAAATTTATATTAATAAAAACAAACTTATTTACGTGAGTGTAGTGTTTCAGTTTTAAACAAATATCAAATATATAATTTATATTTTATACATATACACGCGTATGTATGTATATATTTTATATGTATAACACAAACATATTTTGAACAAAGTCACATTACCATTTCCAATTTATTATTTTATTTAAGTTAATAGAGACGATATATGTTGGCAAGTTTGTATAATTTACGTAAAAATTTATTGTTCCGACAAGTCAGAAATAATTTCTTAAAAAATTACACCATAAATCAATTACGCGTATAAAATATAAAATGCATTTTTCCTCAATATATGTATACATATTATATTTGGAAAGAACGTCTATTTTATTATATTTAAATCCATTTAGATAGCTCCTACCCACCACAGTACAAAAATGTGTCTAAATTATCGGTGAGAAATTATAGAGTAGAATTCTCCATATCCACCAGATGTGTAATTGAAAAAGCATAATTGAAAATTTTGACATAATCGATCATTGGTAAATGAATTCATACAGATCAGAGAAACCTGAGAGCGGACACGCCGGCGATTTACTTGATACCGTTTTTGCTCGGCTGATTCCAGCGTCTTACGCCCATTTTCATTTATGCAACTATTCCGCCACTCCTATTTTTAAGTACTGCTGATTAAATCTCCACATGCCCATTTTTACTTTTGGAACTATTTAATTACGCATTTTCTGACACTGCCGATAAAATTGTCACTTGGTGCAGATCTGTGCTATGCATTCTGACATCTAATTTATAAAATTGACATTGTTTACATGAGAAAAGTTAATGTAAATGTCATGCAGATAATTTATGTTAATGTAATTTTGAATTTCACAGCACAATCGTAAAAAATAGGCAGGGTTGGGAAGTAACGCGTTACTTGTAACGCCGTTACCATTTCCGTTACTTTTTTTCGGTAACGATCGTTACTTTTTTATGTCTGTAACGGTAACGGTAACGTCGTTGCATTTTTACAGTAACGGTAACGAATTCAGCCGTTACTTTTATCGTTACTTTAGTTCCCTATTATTTTTTATATCTGTTCAATAGATCGTGAGCTGGTCGCGCGCACTATTCTTGATTGGACAAAAATATTCCGATATTGGGCGCTGGAAGTCAATGTCACATGAGAATGCGCTGTAAACATTTATCGATGTCTTGATTCTGGGGCCCGATTATTGAATTCATTCAAAGAAGAAACGTATACGAAAATTCTGCTCTGACAGAAAAGTTGAAAGTCGATTGGTCAAAAGCCACGCGTATATCCAATCAACTTGCTCTGTAAGAGCAGAATTTTCGCATATGTTTCTCCTTCGTACAAATTCAAGAATCGAGCTCCTGTATGCTCGATGACTTGCTATATAGAAACTAGTTTAAAGTTTTAAGTTTTAATATTGATTATTAAATAATAATAATAATGTAATTTTACAATTAACATCTTACTTTAGCATTTCAACAAAGTAACGAAAAAGGTAACGAATCATTACTTTCTAAGTAACGG